GCCACTCTCATTTCCTCTTCCACACTGGTTTTCCTGGAGTACTTGCATGTTATCGTGGCAATTGCTGTAAAACCAGCATCGCAAAGATCTAATGTCATTGAAAGGAATGTAGTTTAATATTAAAATGGTAAACTATTGAGCTAGTAGATCCTATGGTGTCTGACAGATATTGAGCATCACTGTGTTTCTCTTGAAATTTTAAAATATCCATAGCACCTCTGTGAGTTCACAGTGGCTCCCTAAGGTTCCCTGGCACACCATCTGGAAATTGTAGGATAATTTAACAAGAAGTGTAGAGCAGGTGATCTTAGAGTTGGTCTGGTGGCTTGGTGATGTCCTCAAGGATCCACCCTTTGGCAAGTTGCACCTCATGGTCTCAAGATGGCTGCCATGGCACCAGCATCACATTCTTGCATGACCTTGCAGCCATCAATGCAAGGAAGGAGGGAAGGGTGATGTGCCTGCGTAAAATGTGACCTGCTTTCACTCTCCATCTGCACTTGGTGGTGGATGTCAGACTGGTGCCTGTAGATGCAGAGACATATTAAACTCTTGCCATCCAAACAGGGACAAAAATTAGTGGCCTTGGTCATATCAACTAGACCTGGAATTGGAAGACTGAGAAGTTTTGCCAGCCCAGAAATTCTTAGGAAGACACTATCTCCTTAGTCCACTGGGTTTTATAGTGGTTTTGGGGAGACCAGTACATTGTATATGAGGACATCAGGCCATGCAAAAATTCTCATGCAGTGAAAATATGTTGTTTTGCCTGAATGACATTCAGATTTTCCCTGTAGAGCCACTGGTTTTGGAGCTGTGGAATCTCACCTTGCCTCTAGCAAGGGAGGGGCTTGTCTAGAGGACTAACATCTAGTTGAGCAGGAGTCAGGGAGGAGATCAGATATCTGATCTGAGATTTCAATGAGGAGTAGAAGTTGGCCAAGAGGGAAAACAAGGACTCCAAACAGACAGAACAGCAAGGACAGGGGCAGGTGAGGGCACGTGGTTCATCTGAGAATGTGTTTTGGGTTTATGAGATGAATTGGGGCTAGGACTTACAGCTAACAAAGGGAGGATGTTTTTATCCTGAAACCATGAGAGATACTGAAAGGTTTTAAGTCAGGAAGGACTCGATTATATCTATAGTCTTGGGAATAACAACTACTGTGCAGCAGAAATTGCATGGTATTCATAAAATTCATTTCTTTTCCTCCTGGGCACACAGTAGACTACATCTCTGAGATCGACTGCAGTCAGGTGAAGCCGCATGACTGCATTCTAGCCCAGCAAATATGGATGAAACGGATATTTACCAGTGCTAGGCCCAGCCCATAATAACCTCCTGCACAACCCTCCACATTATCTCTTTCCCCATTTGGTGGAGAATCAAGGACCTAGATGGGGGAGCTCCAAGACGGAAGTAGCCTGGGTCCCTGAGTCGCCATCTGGGGAAGAGCCTGCTATACACTGTTACGTGAGCAATGAAGCAATTTTTCCTATGCTGAGGCCTTGCAATGTTGGGGTGATTTGTTACAGCAATTAACCTACTCTGACTAATACCAGCCATAATAAGCGCTACTATCTATTGGGTACTTGCTCTGAATTGGACAATGTGCTAAGTGCATTACACCTCATTTCATCTGCACCGGGATGGGGACCACCATTAGCCCACTTTTATAGAAGAGGAAACTGAGGCTGAGAGAGCAGACAGCAGGAGAAGGACAGAGCAGCCCGACCCCAAACCCCTGGACTCAAGGGCCAAACTGTGTCCTGCTGGCTCCCAGTATGAAAGGAATGGATGACGGTTGGGTGAGGCACGGAGACCAGATGAGGGGTTATTATAGCAATCAGCACTAGCAGGGCGTTCCTGCTGTGAAATGGGTTAACTAATAGGGTTTTGTAGTGTGAATTGAGAGAATGCGTCTGAAGTGTCCAGTGAAGGGCGCCAGCATCTGGCAGGTGTACAATGAATGTTAGTTTGATGTTTCTCAAGGCACTAAGCAAGGACTGAGGAAGCCTGGGTGAAAACAGGAGAGAATTATCCTCATACTCCATCTGCAAGGACGATCCCATGGTGTCACCCCGGAAGCAGCACTGGCAGTAATTCAGCAAAGAATGAGGGAGACGGAGAAGCTGAGGGTTGGACGATTGTCTTATGTTGCTATTTTTTTATTATTGATGTTTGAATTTTTTATTTTTACTTATGTGTACATAATAGTTGTATACCTTTATAGGGTGCATGTGATGTTTGATACAGGCATACAGTGTGAATTAATCAAATCAGGGTAATTGGGGTATCTGTCACCTCAGGCATTTAACATTTGTGTTAGGAACATTCCATTTCCTCTCTTTTAGTTATTTTAGAGTATATCCTAACTTATTGTTGATGATAGTCACTGCTGGACTATCAAATAGCTTATGTTGCCATTTACAGGAACACGGACGGAAGCCTAAGAAACATCTTGTACAATGTGCTGCAGGACACGGAAGAGGGAGAGAACCAGGCTAAAGATAACGAGCAAGAAAGCAGATCCTGAGACCTTCTGGGACGAGATTTGTTCAATGCAGGCCTTGGATTCCCCGGCCTTGGGCTCTCAAGTGTTGTCAACAAGCTGTGCCGCCTTGTCCACATGTATCCACTTCTGTCCTGAAGTAGATACATTTCATCTGCACAATCATGGGCCAGTTCTCTCACTACTTTGTGCCTCATTTTTATTATCTGAAGATGGGAATAAGAAGCAATGGGACGTCCAGCCTGAGCAAGAGCAAGACCCCGTCTCTACAACAAAAACAGAAAAATTAGCTGGGTGTGGTGGTGGGCGCCTGTAGTCCCAGCTACTCGGGAGGCTGAGGCAGGAGTATGACTTGAGCCCAAGGACGTTGAGGTTGTAGTGAGCTGTGATGAAGCCACTACACTCTAGCAAGGGTGACAGAGCAAGACTCTGCCTCAAAAAAAAAAAAAAAAGAAAGAAAGAAAAAAGAAGAAGTAATGGAACTTATCTCATAGGGTTGCTGTGAATATGTGCAGAGTGCTTGGCACAGTGTTGGAGATGCAGTGAGTAATGGTAGAAATGATCAGTAAAATTCCCTCATCTCCTTCATTATTTCTGTCTCTAGCGATACATACAAACACGCCGACGTGGCTATGAGCACGAGCAGAATCCTCGCCTGTCCTGTTCCTGCCACATCTCCATCCAGCCCTTAGAAGAGTGACTGGCTCACTGTAGCTATTTACACATTTGGTGAATGAAGGAATAAGGAAACCCACCTCACTGTGTCCCTCCTCCCTCCCTCCCTCTCTCACCCCTTCCTTCCTTTCTTTCTTCTCTTTTTCCTTCCACCCATCTATCCATCCATCCATCCATCCATTTTAGAAAGGCAGCAGTGGTGTATATCACGAGTTTTTTTTTTCACTTGTGGTAAAATACAAATTATATAGAATTTACCATTTTAACGGTTTCTAAGTGTGCAGTTCAGTGACATTAAGTACATTCACATTGTTATGCAACTATCTCTATCATCCATCTTCAGAACTTTTTCATCCTCCCAAACAGAAAATCTGTACCTGTTAAACACTAATTCCCCTTTCTTCCTTCTCCCCAGCCCCTGGGAACCACCATTCTGCTTTCTGTGTCTATGAATTTCACTACTCTAGGTGCTTCACGTAAGTGGAATCATATACAGTGTCTGTCCTTTTTTGACAGCCCACAAGTTTTGTGACCACATAAGCTGTGTAATACTGGGAAACTCAACCTCCCCGAAACTCCACTTCTTCATCCATAAAATTGTAATAATAGTACCTGCATCATATTGTTGTTGTGAGGTTTAAATGAGATACTGTACATAAGGTAGTTAACCCAGTGCCTGGCACACAGAACATGCTCAATAAATATTAGTTATATCTAGCTATATTTTCTATTTTTATTTATATATGTATTTCTTACAGACTGAGTCTCACTCTGTCGCCTGGGCTGGAGTGCAGTGGCACAATCATAGCTCACTGTAACTTCGAATTCCTGGGCTCAAGCGATCCTCCCACCTCAGTCTCTGGAGTAGCTGGGACTACAGGCATGTGCCACCATGCCTGGCTAATTTTTATATTTTGTAGAGTCAGGATTTCACTATGTTGCCCATGCTGGTCTCAAACTCTTGGCCCAAAGTGATCCTCCTGGCCCGGGCTCCCAAAGTGCTGGGGTTACAGGCACGAGATACCACAGCCCACCCTAAGTAAATATTCTGAATGAATGGACACTGGTATTATGCTTATTGTTGGCATCTAGCACTGTCCTGAGCACTTCACATATATTAACCCATCTAAACTGCACAACGACCCTGTGACATGGCTACTGTCACTACCATCCACACTTGACAGAGGAGAAAACAAAGGTGCAGGGAGGTTGAGGCACATGCTCAGGGTTACGTGGCTGGTTCACAGTAGAGCTGAGATTTAAATCCAGGAAGCCGGTTTCCAAAGTGCACAGGTTTTACCACCACACCACGTGGCCTCTTGCTTATCTACGCTGCTTCACCCGGTGGGGGATCGTCTTTTGCCACTGGGTCCTGGGTCAGGCCATCAGGGTGAGGGCAGGTGTTGGCGCCTCAGGTAGGAGATGCCTATGGGCATCCGGGGAAAAACAATCGAAGATGAGTTTGCTATTTCTTAACCTGAGAGGTCCCAAAGCGATGGGGCTCTCTGCATGCCCCTTGACACGTGCTGGCCTCCTTTGGACCGTGGGGAGCTGGGGTGCAGGGTCTGGGCCGTCCTGTCCAGGTGACGCAGCCAAGCCAGCGCCTTTCCCCTGGTTGGCAGGAAGCTCAGCAATCCTTGACTCCCCACCCCAGCCCTGCCCTGCTGAGATAAAAAAGTTTCTTCTTCTGGGCCTCAGGGCCACCTCCCACCTGGACTTTATTGGCTTCTGAGCACTGTCAGTGAGCCTCTGCATTCCTTTAAAAGGGGCAGAGCCTGTAGTGGGACCAGCGGGTCCTGTGTCGGAGACAAGAGTGCCCAGGACAACAGGTGCGGGTTTCCCAGCAGGTCAGGCAAGCGCCCAGGGCTTGTGCCGTCTCCTCCTGATGTCTGTAGAGGTGAGCCCACTGCCGCATCTTCCTCTGCAGCCTGGCAGAGCGAGGGGTGGCTGCGAATGAATTCAAGGTTGGGGGTCGGGGCCTCCTGTCTGGGCTCTCCTACCACCCACGTCCACTGTCTCTTTCCCCTGCGGCAGGTAGCTATGTGTGACTCTAACATTGGCAATGCCAAGGCGAAGGAGCCGAGCACGGGTGACAGGTGGCGGGTGTCCTGGTACGAGCGGCTGGTGCAGCCCTGCCTGGCTGAGCTGCTGGGCTCTGCCCTCTTCATCTTCATCGGCTGCCTGTCTGTCATCGAGAATGGGACAGACACAGGGGTGCTGCAGCCAGCCCTGGCCCACGGGCTGGCCCTGGGGATCATCATTGCCACACTAGGGAACATCAGGTGAGACCAGCCCCAAGCACTCAGCCTGGGGCTCCCTTGGGGAGCTGGGGTGGGGACAAAGCTGTGGTCAGGCCCCAGCACCACTCAGGACTCCGGGGAGGGCTGTGGAGCAGCGTGGGGTGGCGCCCCAGTCTGCCTGGGGTCCTGTCCTCACTCTGCAGCCTGTGAGCGCCTGGCTTTGGGCAAGTCCTTCTCCAAACTGTAAAATGGGAATAGAAGCGTAGTTTTTCAATGAATTTTTTCCCAAGCCAACATGTCTATCTTGCTCACTATGTCCCAGGCACTATTCTAAGCACTTTGTAGATATTAATCATCCAATCTTCACAAGAACCTTGTGGGGTAGGTCCTGTTATTAGCCTCATTTTACAGCTGCAAAAGAGAAAGTCCATGTAACCTGTCCCAGGTTATAGGGCTGGAAAGTGACAGAGCCAGGAACCAAGTCCAAGCTGTCTGTCTCCAGCACCCAAACCTGAGTGCCTTAAGTTGGGGGTAGGGAGGCGCTGAGAATGAAAAGAAGTGAGGCGCTCAGCACACGCCAAGCACCAGCCGGTACTGGTGGCTGAGTCATTGTTACCACTACAAGGGGTTTAGGGAAAGCAGAGATGTGCAGAGAAACCGACCGGGGGCTTCCCCACTCGGGTGTGCAAGGACCTGCAGTGGCCCCGGCCAGTCAAGTGGTGACCAGAAGGGCAGGCAGAGGGGAAGGGCTCCTCTGGCTCAGCTCTCACTTGGGTGGGGGCTCAGTGGGGAGGTCGGTGGGTTCCCAGGAGAGGCAGCTGTAATGAAGACCTTGAATGGGGCGCCTGGCAGGATCTGGGACAAGGTTGGCCTATATTTAATTTCAATCAGAACATAGATCTGAACAGGGAAACTGAAATACTGTTTCTGACAAAACCAGAATGGAAAGAGAACATCTCTTTCAATGTCCAAGGGAGGCTGCGAGAGGAGTGAAAAGCACGTGATCCGTGAAAAGCACATCTTACCTGGGTCAGCAGGGCAAGTTGATGAACCTCTCTGTGTCCAGTGGTATAAATGTGGGTAATAATAATAGCTGATATTATATACTAACTTTAGAGACAGTACTATCTGCTATACATGAAGTAATTCATTATAGCTTTGCAGCAGCCTTGTCAGGTGGGGATCATTGAGGCACAGAGAGGTTATGAACTTGCCCAAGGTCGCACAGCCATGCAGTGGCACAGCTGGGGTTTGAACCCACGCCTGCTGGCTGGAGAGACCATCTCTCTGGCATTGTAGTATGCTGCCTCTCTGTAATACAAACCTTTTATTCAATCATTGACTTTTTCCACAAATATTGATTCAGCACCTCCTATGTCCAGGCACTGACTTTGAGGTTGTTGAATGGATCCAAGGTAAGGTGTGTAAAGTACCCAGCACAGAACCTGGCACATAGTAAGTGTTCAATAAATATTTGCTGAGTGAACAATGAATGAATGAACAACGTATTTTGACTGTTATTCTAGGGAGCATGTGTGGTCCTCAGGGCATCCAGCACTCTCTTGTTGGAGCCATGCTCAATAACAGTCTCTCCCCAGGTTGGGCAGGTGGGATGGTGGAGGAGAGGCCAATGGCCTGAGGGATTCTAGCTGTCCAGGATCCCTGGGAAGCCACCCCATCCCCCTGGAAAGCCAAAGCATCCCGTTTGCTTTGGCAGAGCCCAGATGAGCCACCTGAGGCCAGATGGGCCTGGCAGCTCCTTTTCCTGACTTTTGGAGACTGAGTACCGGCTGGTGCTTTCATATCATGCAGGAAGCTCACCTGAGAGTCTAGGCATAGAGCTGGGCCAGACAACCTGGGCAGTTGGTCGAGAAGTATCAGAGTGTCGGACAAAGTCCTTTTGTCCAGAGCCAAGGTCCTCTGTCCAGTCTCAGCTCAATGCCGTGTCCATTGGGGGTGGGCAGGCTCACCGGTGGGCTCTTAATATCTAGGGGCACTTTGGCTCTTGTGTGATGTGGGGGGTCATTGGGTCACTTTCCCTAATTGGGGGGTATCTCTTCCTGGGAACCAGATGGATGTAATGCGCCAACCTCTGAGAACAGTCCCTCCATCAGAGTGGGGTTGGATAGGACACCAATACCGATGGGGGTGCAGGAGATTGGGGGCCTCCTGGCTCTGGGGCTGGGGCTGGTTGAGCATCTTGGTAAACAGGAAGCTCTTTACCCACAAGCAAGGCAGGTGCCAGCCAACTGGAAGCTTCCTTCTGACCCCAAGTTCTGACTCATCTAGCTCCCATGCTCATCCCAAACTCCCGATCCCAATCCCTGCCCCCAACAGGAGCCCTCACCGCCACCCCCAGTTCTCAACACCATTTTCAACATGAATCCTAACCTACGAGTTTCACTCCTCACACTCTCAGGCCACAAATGGGTATTTCTTGGCTGAGCAGTTCCATCGATAGCTCTTATTCTGAGCCTCGCTACCCACAAGGGGAGGCCAGGACATGGCTCTTGGACTACTAACTCGGAGCCTGGGGTCTCAGTCTGACCTGCAGCCACCTCTCTGGAGATGGGAGGGAGCTCTGAGGGAGTCTGGAAGGAGTTAAGGGACAGTCTCCCTGCATGTTCTTCCTCTGAGGCCACCCTGGGGTCTGGGCTTAGGCTTAGGGGCTGCTCTCCCCTTCCCTTGGCTCCCCCCGTGTCTGTCACCCCATCATTGGACACCTCAGGGAAAATGGCAGCCATCTGGTGCCTCTTCCTGTCTGGGCTGGACCCTGGACTGACTCTGGCCTTGCAAGCTCATCCTGGGGGACTGGTTGGGACACATTCTCTCAGGTGACAGAGTCGTGGTTGGCTGTGGACCGTGGCCTCATGACTTCCTTCTGCTCTTGTGGGTTACAGTGGGGGACACTTTAACCCTGCGGTGTCCCTGGCGGCCATGCTGAGTGGAGGCCTCACCCTGATGATGCTCGTTCCCTACTGGATCTCCCAGCTGCTCGGGGGGCTGATCGGGGCTGCCCTGGCCAAGGTGGGTGACCCCCAGGGGGCTGGGCTGGAGGCTTCGGCTCTATGGGACGGCTGGAGGTGTGTGTAGGGGGAGACGGTGGGCACTGGGGAAATGCCCAACTCTTGGCTTGTTTCTGCCCGTGGAACTCGGTGGACCCTTTCCTACTGAGGAGGGGCACATCCTGTGGGGCTTGTCCCTTCCAAACCTGCCCTGTTCTGTTTCCATTTGGACACAGCCCTTCCCTGCAGACTGTGAAGCAAATTCAGGACTTGGCATCTTCTTCCTGAGCCCATTTTTGGCTTTGGAGTTGATCAGGATAGTTGGAATGGCTTTTTTGTTCTGTTTTGTTTATTCACTCACTCATTCACTTGTTCCTTCATTCTACAAACATCTCACTAAGCACTGAGGATTCAGGATGAATATGATTATTATCCTCGAGAAACTCCTGAATTAACTTCTGTATGTTCTCCACTTTGCTTGCCTTTAAACTGAGTTACCTTTGACAGGAGTGGGTATTCACGGTTGGAATCTTCCCATCACAACAGGAAGGCCAGCTCTTCCTCTCAGCCACAGGATTTGTATAGCTCTACACACAAATCTATGGATGGACTCCCTCCCTCCCTCCTTCCTCTTCTTTCCCATCCCCCTTTCCCTCCTTCCTTCTGCCCTTAAGTATCAGTTGAAACTGAGACCCTTCGAGACCTGGGTCTCGCCTGCTGAGTGTGGTGGATGGGAGAGCCATCAGCCCGGCTGTGCCTGGGTCTAAAGCTCTCAGCCCTAGTCCACTGCAGGCTCTGGTCCAAAGTCTCATTTTGTGTCTCCCCCTGCCCTGGTCTCTTCATGCCACCACGTGAAACCCACAGCCTGTTTCCCTGTCCGTGGAAGGCGGCCTGGATCTCCCCCCTCTGATTCTCTATGGAAAGTGGTGCCCAGACTCGCCCTCAAGCCCTGCCACGTGAAACTTGTCAAACACAATTCTGACAAGCGCGCAGCAGCAGCTGCTGTTCACGGAGCACATCCTCCTTGCTGAGCACTTCCCACTTAGTCCCTTAATCTCCCAGCAACTTCATGAGAAACCACAGTGAGTCCTTGGAGAGTGTTTTCTGTGTGCCAGGCATGCCAAGACCCTTACTTGTGACCTAGGAGCTGTCATTATCGCCCCCACTCTATAGATGGGGAAACGGTGGCACAGAGAAGCCAGTAACTTGCCGAAGTTCAGACAAGCTGGTGAGCAGCGGAGCCCAGGAGCCCGTGTGCTCCACTGTCTTCCTTCTCCAGGCGCTGTGGCCACCCGAGGCCCATTTCCTGCGGAGCTAACGGAACCTCAGCCGCAGGGCTCTCCTTGCACAGGTCCCTCCCAAGGTCCTGTGGGGCCTGGCGCTGTGTTCACCCGATCATATGTGTTTGTAAAGGTTGCAAGCAGATGTGTTTATGTTCTTTTTCTCAGAGGGCCATCTAAGTTACATAAGCTCAGGCCCGTAACCCCTGGAGCCACTGCTGGGTCGTCCCCACTCCTCAGATCAGCAAAGTGAGGCTCAGAGAGGTCCCATAGCTCACCCAGAGTCACACAGTCAGAACCTGGGGAGCTGGGACGTGGACCCAGATGTGTCTACCTGCGCGTTGGCCTAACCCCTCACTGGCTCTTAAGGTGGGCAGCGTGCACTTTTAGGCCCCCTCCCCTCAGCTCCCAGCTGTGTCTCTGCCCGCTGTGAGGCTCAGCGGCTTCTCTCTGCAGGCAGTGAGTACTGAGGAGAGGTTCTGGAATGCAACTGGGGCAGCCTTTGTGACAGTCCAGGAGGAGGGGCAGATGGCAGGAGCATTGGTGGCAGAGATCATCCTGACGATGCTGCTGGCCCTGGCCGTGTGCATGGGAGCCATCAATGAGAGGACCAAGAGCCCTCTGGCCCCATTCTCCATCGGCTTTTCTGTCACTGTGGACATCCTGGCAGGGTAAGTGTCCCTTGGCAATGGGACAACTGTGCCCAGATCGGGGCTGTCCTGGCTCTGGATGAGGTCAAGCCTGAAGGTCACAGACTCAGCTACTTATAGGGGCCAGGCAGCTGCTGCAGATGGGGGCAGTGGGTTGGCCCTGGGCAGACAACAGGGAGTGGTGGGGACTGTGGTGTTTAAGGACTTCTGTCAATTCAATGCTAGTCAGTCATTGCTTTATCAGAAAATGGGTCTAGGGTGACCCTTTCATTCAAAAAAATACAGAAATCTGGATTTTTATGTGACGTTTTGCAATTTTGGTAAATAAAACATTCCTGCAGGCTGTGTTCATTCAGCCAGTGGGAAGCCAGGTTTTAGCCTCAGGCTTACAAAGAGCAGCTACAGCCACCATGTCCTTGATTTTGAGCCCCCTAGCAGTCTTCGGGACAGCTTAAGGAGACAAAGTTGGGTCAGGGATTATTTCTCCATTTTATATTATAGATGAGAAATCTGAGGCTCAGAGAGGATGGAATGGGACGGTAAGGTCGATGGGCAGTGGCAAATTAGGTGACAGATCTGAGACGAGGGGATTCCTAATATACAACACCTTCTTTTGTACACAGAATGTAGTCTAGCCCTTCTCCTGGGTAAGCTCTGCTATCTTTGGGAGGAGCTGCCCAGGCGGGACTGGGGAATGTGTAAAGTGTGGCCATGCTTTGCTGCCCCCTAGTGGTCTGTGGTTCACGTACAAGTCTTTTGACTGGTTGCTGGACACATGGCCCACCAGCTTGAGTGAATGGGCTGAGGATCCAGACCCAGAACTAGAGAGTTGCACCTGGGACCTAGGGAACAGTCCCCCTGTAGGAGATTGAAAGCCCAAATTTGTAGCACAAGTCTCACTGAGTTGGCTAGGTTATAGTTAATGCTGTCGTACATGAATTATATGCAAGGCATGGGCTCTCTATGCATTTTCTCTTTGACTCCTGATAACAACCTATGGGATAGGCACTTTGACCTCAGTTGAAACACAGGAGGTTAAAGGAAGGTCCCACAGCTGGAACTAGCTGGGCTGGGCTTTGAGTCTAGGTCAGCTTGACTCCAAAGTGGGTGACAACTGCTTGACTTTGCTTTATAGACTTTGGAGAGGACTGAGATCCAGCCTTTCCCTGCCATCACCAAATAGGCATTCTTTGCTGGTCATTTTTCTCTTAGGGGGTGTAGGGAGTGCCATACTCTATGCCTAGGGAAAAGCCACGGCTTTTTGCTTCCCAATGTTCAGAATCCACCCCAGAGTCCATGATATGGGAGTTTTCAGAGAGTTTCTGGGGTCTGCGTGCCCTAGGCCTAGTTGGGGACATGACTTTGAGGGGAGGTGGGGCCTGGCTGGGATCCTGGTGACCAGTGTGCTGGCTGTTTGCAGGGGTAATGTGTCTGGAGCCTGCATGAACCCTGCCCGTGCCTTTGGACCTGCGGTGATGGCCAACCACTGGGGCTTCCACTGGATCTACTGGGTGGGCCCATTCCTGGCTGCCCTGCTGGTGGGACTGTTCATTAGGTAGGAGTGTGACTCAGTCACTGGCCCATCTGGTGGGCACCTGGTGACTGCTCCAGAGCATCCAGGAATGGAGGGTAGGCTCTCACCTCAGTTTGGAGAGGAAAGAAGGAGCCTCTTCAGACAAAGACATGGCTCTATGAAGGACCTCTGGTTGCAAGTGACAGAAACCCATCTCACAACAGCGTATGTCATAAAGGGGAATTCATGATCTCACATAATCCAAAAGTTCACAGTAGCAGTGGCTTTCAGTAGAGCTCAAGCAATGTCTTCAGGACTTGGACTTTCTCATAGGCTCTGCTTTCTTCTGTGTGGGCTTCCTGCTTAGGCTCTCCAAGAGAGGAGAAGGTGCTCACCGGACTCTCTAGGTTTCTATCCTAGCAGCTTAACAACTCCAGAGGAAACAGAACAAGAGCTTTAGCAAAAACCCTGGCTCTGATGTTCACTGATTTGGACTGGCCCAGCCTGGGTCACGTGCCCACCTCTGAGTCCATCACTGTGGCTCTGGGGCTCAGGCGCTCTTGTTGGCTGTGCCTGGAGCATGAGCTGAACACTGGAACTGGGGTGAGGCCAGCCTTTACCCGAACAACTGAGAGTAGCACAGAGGGCAGGGGAGGAGTGGGGCCTACAGGGGTGTGGTACAATTCCAGGGGGCCATCCACATAGGAAAACCATATAAATGGTGTCCCCAACAGCACCTGTGTCAGGAGACGACTTCACATAAAGTACAATGTGGACAGTGCTCCCCAGGGCTGGGCAGTGGATAATAAGGGTGATGTTACCAGAAGGGGATGTGGATTCCAGTTAGGAAACACTAACGAGTTCCCTCTGCCCTGTCTGACCTCTTCTCCTTGGGCTCTCTTCTTACACTTTGCTCCTTCTGCTCCAGGTAGTGCGGGGATCTGTCTGGACTTAGCACATACAAGTTGGGCTTCCCTCGCACTGTCTGGGGAGGACAGGCACTGGGCTGGGCTGATCTAGATGGCCTACACCACTGCCCGCCCGAAGTCCTTGGGGCCTTCGGGACCCAGCCTGTGGCTCTGTGAAATATATCACTAATAATTCTGTCTGCTGCTTTCAGAATGGCAGCAGTGACCATCGTCAGGAAAAGGGTTGGAAACCAAATAGGAAACAGTGTCCCCCTCTCCCCAGAGGGACCTAGCTATGAAGTCTGGGAAAGCTCAGGAAGTCATCTCTCTGGAGAATGCTGGGGTGGAGACATACGATGAAGGGCTGGGTCTCTCCTCCAGGGCTCAGAGACCTCACTGAGCCTCTTTTGTAGGTTCTTCATTGGAGATGGGAAAACCCGCTTAATCCTGAAGGGACGGTGAAGCTGAGCTGGTGGGATCCCTGCTGCTACTGCTGCCCTCACCTGAACCATCCTCTACTTAGGAAAGGACAGCTTCTGCATTTCCTGCCAGGACAGAGGCCCAGAGGAGCAACTGACTCACTTCCACCAACTCGGGTCCGGCTTCTCGGACAGACTGCTGCTCAGTCCTGAAGAGGATCTAAGTTCCTGGAGTTCCTTTGTGCTCATCAGAGCCCTCAGCCTGGGGAGCATGTTGCCAGCACTTCCCAGAGAGAGGTGGAAGCAGCACAACAGAAGATTTTTCTTGAGAGGAAGCTCCCAGCATTGGGAGAGGAGGCTGTTGCTGTGGATCAGCTCGTTTCCTGCACCTCGTCTCCTTGTCTTGTTCCTTGGTTCCCCTGTTACAGAAGGGGCCTGACCACTTTTTCTTGCTTCCCGAGCTGACAATCTTGCTTTGCAATAAATAGTCCAGTGTTTCCTTCCATGTGCCCATGGGCTTGCCTTTCATTTGAGAAATGGGCACCACTAGGAGACATCCAGAGTCTGGGGTTGTGCCTTGGCTGTCCAGGGTGGCTAAGCCTAGGACCCAGCCTGGAGTCCAGTGCCACGGTAGGTACTTGGAGTGCAGGCCAACCCAGAGCCTGTGTTCGCTTGGCCAGGTGCATCCTGGAGCTCAGTCTAGAGCTCAGAGTACATTCTACATTCCAACGTGGACTCTAGTCAGTGTCAATTCCAGATCATAGACCTAGAGACCCTGCTGAAAAGTCCAACGCAGAGTTCATGGTCTGAGTGACAGCCCAGTGTTGTCCTGGACACAAATCAGCCCATTCACTGCACTCCAGCTGGGGGTGGGGGTGGGGCAGAAAGGCAAGAATTTCCTGAGGATGTAGAATCCTGAGCAAGTGGCACAGTATAGGCCTGAAGAGACAGTGGCCTTTGGATAGAAGATATGAGTATAATGAATAAGAAAGGATAAAGAGACACATTCGGAACTTCACACCTTTCAAGTAAAGCATGTATCTTCTCTGGGAGAATCTATGGCTCATTTATAGGAAATGATCGTTATAATACCATAAAGGACTATCAGGGAAATACGATTCTCAATAGCTAATAAGATGAGCAAAATGCTCACTGGGGAAAATCACCAATACAATAAGAGACTGCCTGTAGAGAAAATGGATACAACATATATCCAAATATCCGACATATTCCTGGAGAAAAAGAAAACAAGAATGACTACATGTCTAAAGAAAAGAAGGAAATATGATAAAATCAGAAATAAACTACAACACTCACAAAGAGTAAAAGGCGTTAAAAGTTACTATTTGGTGAAATAAACTTTTGACAAATGTAGTAAACTGTTGCTCCATGAATTAATATAAACATATTTGCAGATAGGCTATGTCTCAGGAGTTTTGCAGAGCTTTGCCCTGAAGGAATATGTGAACGTGTTGGTTTGCATATCAAAAGCTGCTGTACCTCGGGAGGGCATCTCTAAAAGACAGTAGCGGCTGTATCCCACAAGGTACCGCATTTCTCAGACCTAAAGGTTTGGATTTGCTTTGTAAAGCAAAGCAGATCTGTTAAAAACTACAGGATGAGAGCTGATAAAAGAGTGCCCGCCCTGAACAGACAGCCGCCTGAACAGTCCGCCTATGGCTAAAAGCAATCAGCCCAAGGGGCAGTTCCTGCTTAAAATTCCGGACTACCTGTCTCCATTCACAATAACCTGATAAAGAAAATATGGAGCCAATATATCTCTGTTTAACCCCTCTCTTAAGTGATACATTTACCTTAGAACTTAGAAGTTAATCTTTGAAAGATTTTGTAACCATTTGTTCACGTAGATAGAATTAGTTAAGGGATCTGTAGAAGCCTTTTGAAAAACTGTTAACCTAAGAGGAACTACCTGCTGTTATGTAAATCTGTTACCCCTGGCAACTGGTAACTGTTATCTATAAATGACCGTGTAAGACTTCATTCGTGGCTTTTTGAGATTGACGGAGAAATCGAGGCCCCCTGAGCTCCTGCTTTGCCTATAATCTTTATAAATCTATAAAACTATACCTTTGTCTCTGTGTATTCTTTTATTTCCATTTCTCTATTATTTTCTTTTTCCTTGCAACTCTACCAAAGGGACCCGGTTTTTTTGCAGGGAGCTTGGCCGCGCTCCCAGCAATAAGTTATCTATACATATGTATTTATACATACCCATATACATCATGTACACAGCTAACATTTATTGAGTGTGGCTCTGTGGTAGGCACTGTGCTGAACACCCTTTTCCACGGACTGTGGCATTTACTCCCACACCAATCCTAGCAGGTAGTGTCCTGGGTTGAATAGTGTCCTCCCAAAATTCACATCCATCTTGAACCTCGGGACGTGACCTTATTTGGAAATAGAGTCTTTGTAGACGTAAGTTAAGGGTCAAGAGGAGATCATACTGTATTAGGGTGGCCTTCCTTGTAAGAGAGAGAGATGGCCATGCAGAGGGAGGGCCATGTAAAGATGGAGGCAGAGGTTGGAGTTATGCTGTCACAAGCCAGCACCAGGAGCTGGAAGCAGCAAAGAAAGATGCTCCCCTTGAGCGTTTGGAGGGAGCATGGCCCTGCTGACACCTTGATTTCAGACTTCTCGTCTCCAGAACTGTGAGAGCATACATTTCTATCATTTTAAGCCCTCAGTTTGTGGCACTTTGTTCCAGTAGTACCAGGGAACGAGTACAGGTAGCTACTCTTATTCTTCTCATTTCCCAGGGGAGCTAATGGAGGTTCCAAGGGATGGTGTTATCCAAGGTCACACAGGCAGTGCATTGGTAGAACCTATGTTTAAGATCAGGTATGTTTGTTTGCAGGGTTCATGATCTCTATCATCACACTTGTCTGTTTCTGAATAAGGGACAGTATTATGTCTTCTGCCTTGTCTCCTACTTCCCTCTTAGTCCTCCACTGAAGAGGGGACAGAAAAAGACATGATAACTCTTCTCAGTTTTAACTTGCAATTGGATTTCATGTCCTGGGCTTCATATGTCAATTTCCAGACAACAGCTCTTAAGACTGATATCAATTAATCTTTATAACTGCACATTTCGTGGTTTGGTGTGTGCTGTACAGAAGGACTCAGGAAAAGTCCTCACGGACTGAAAGAACAGCATAGGCTGATCCCAACTACTCCTAAGTTCATTATGACTCTACAGAGTAGAACTCAAAACTGACCCAGATCACCTCCACTCCACCTCCCTGTTTCTCAATAACAAGGAGATCACAGAATTTTAGGATGTTAGAGCTAGAAATGCTATTATAATAGCAAAATATGATGGCTATAAGTTTGGAGTCTGAGAAATTACACTTGGGAATTTTCCAAGTATAATTGCTTATTTCAAATAAAACAATCTGGGCATAAGCCCTATCTCAGCTACCAGCTAATAAGTTATTCTCAAGCTGCTGTCAATGCTTAACTTGTATCAAAATAGGTCTAGTTAGGGTTTTGTTCTGGTTTTTGACATTAAAAATACAATCATGCCTTGAGCTCACAATGAACAACCACGGAGGCTCTGCTTGCCAAGCCCATACTTGCTCACTTCAGCGCACAGCAATCTGCTGTACAACTCCATCATGTCCACTGCAGATGCCGTTTCCCACCCCGGCTACAGGAGATGTTCTTTCTATAATAAAACATGCGGTGAAGAGAAATGGAGAACAACCAGGCACAATCATGCATATCTGAGACACTCTTTAGCACGACAGACTTTCTCTGATATGACTCCTCTCTCAAAAGGCCATTCTGGCCCGTGGCATCTTTCTTACTTTTACTTTCCAATTTTCTACATTGAACACAGATTTTTATAACAGGGGAAAGCTCACTCAAGGATATTCAAGGAGAAATAAAGGAAGAACTTTCTATAAGCAATGGTTTTCTAAGGGTTCTAAGGCAACGTGACACAGACATGCAAAAACTAACCTGTTTAAATAGGGGTGGGATGGCAGGTGTCTCTAGTAAACAAGTGACATTTTTGAAAGGAGGAAGGGGGACTATTCCAGGAGATTTCAGGGACATATCAGTCATCTCCAAAGTGTGGACCATGTTTGGAGACGTATATAAAAGGTTTTGTTAAACAACTGGGGAAATCTGAACGTAGCGTGGATATGAGATGTTATGAGGAGCCATTGTCAATTTTTGAGGTCTGCAAATACTCAAAGTGAAACAACATCCCAGTTCTCATCAGGTAAGGCCGGCTTGTGATAACACACACCCAGGGCAGCTGAAGAAAAGAGAAGCAGCACTCACAGTGCTGCTGGGAGCAGACCCGGTGGGGCCTTGAAAGGGCAACTGGGCGGTGTACATCCACTTTAAATGCTCACCCTGTGACCCGGCCATTCCTGATAGCAATTTACCCTGAGATGCTAAAATGTAAGACTATTTACTACAGCATTAGGTATAATAGGAAGAATCTAGAAATAAATACTCATCATTTGGGGTTAAACATATTCTGGCATATTCATAATACTATATAGCCATGAAATCAGAAAAGGAAGATAAATACATATATAGACATAAAATGACCTCTAAGGTAATCTCTTGAAAAGTAAAGTATAGAACAATATGGATGGTATGCCCCCACCTGTCTTTAAAAAAAAAAAAATCTTTCTCTCTATGTATGTAGAAAAATTCGGGAATATGGCAGCATTGTTTCCCAGGTTAGAAGGCTGAGGTCTGGGGTAGGAGAGAGATTGACTTTTCCTTGTCTACCCATTTGTATTTTTTTACTTTTGTACTCTGTATGTGGTATTACTTTTTGAATTAAAAAGCTAGTTAAAAAAAAAAACCATAATCCATATATATGCAAAAAGTCAGAAAACATATTAATATATACTATTGTAGCATATACATTATTACTTTGTCATATACAAGGTATCAAAAATTCATCACTTAAACAATATGTAAAGAGTTCGTATGACAACATTGCCAGTCAAGAATCAGTATTATTCTTGTAGTGGAGAGTAAGGATTATGACCCTAAAGGTAAGACTACACAATCTTCAGTCAGGGTAGAAGGTGTTTGTGAGCACATGCTCC